CCCCACCCTAGACTCTAGAGTTTGGAGTTACTAGTTGTAAAAGGCCTGATGAACGTCAGCACGTAGGGGCCCACTGTGAAAGGTTGTCAGAAGTCAGGTGTCCATTTCCTGTGTCCTCTCACGTTCTGCCTCTCAGGAGAGTGGGCTGTGTGCTGAAAGCCCCAGAGCTCCTTTCCTGGAAGGTGAGCTCCACTCCTCAACCTGCGCTCGGTCTGTGAGACGCCGCCTCCCCACCTGCACACAGCAGCTTCCTCTGCGGGCAAACAGGAAGCCGCTCACATTGGGGGAGGCAGGAAGGGGCTGCCTGCCCCTGGGCTGTGGTCGGGTCAGCAGACTGCACATCTGCTGGGCCCAGGGGAGGGGGACAGTGGGCTGGGACCCCCAGAAGGGGGAGGGGGTGTAAAAGATCAAAGCCCATCTCTGGCAGGGCTCTAGGGGCAGGAGCCAATTTGCCTTCCCCTTCTCACCCTGAGCCACACACCCTGTGAGCAGAAGGCCCTCCTTGGCTGTCCAGCTCTAGTTCCTTGCATCTTGGGATGGAGGTGAAAGTTCTAGGAGATGGAACAGAGCTGATGGGTTCAGGAGTCGAATCTTCTTGGAGTTTGCTCTAAGCAGGAACCACCCCCTGGCCACATCCCAGAACCCCAAACACACACATCAAACACATACAAGACCCACTGAGAGGAGAGGGAGAGGCAGACCCCATTTCCCACAGTGTCGCTTGATGTGATCAAGGGACTGAGGATGAGCAGCGTTGACTCCTTCATTCATCAGAAGGTCTTGGAGCAGTTATGAGCCCGGCTCCCACTAATTGCACAACCTGGGTGGTGATAGAGATGAGTGGACCAGTCCTCACCCTTGAGAAGTTCACAGTCAGGGGGATGGGTGGAGATTCAGAAATACACAGAGGAGGCTGGTCACTGGCACCTGGCTTGACCAACAGCACCTCAGCCCAGCATGCCGAGGGGCCCGGGGATGGTGCAGAGCTGGGAATGGAGGGAGTGGACCCCAGTCCTTGGCTTCTGATCAGTCCTCACTTCCTGGTCACCCCCATCATGTCTTCACCCCCACCCCCAGCTTGTCTGTGACCTCCTCATGTGCTTCATTTGATGGTCACCTTGCTCCTTATCTTCCTCCGCTTTCTAGCAGCGTTTGACACAGCCAACCACTTCCTTCTTCTGAAGTTGTCTGTCTCCTCTCTTGTGTTTGGTGACAACACACCCTCTCATTCTCACCTCCCTGACAGCCCCTGCTCACTCTCTTCTGCAGGCGTCTCCTGGGGGGGCTCTGCCGACCCTTAGTGTAGGTGCCTTCCTGCTGGTCACACACGTGCTCCTTTCTCCACCCCAGCCCCTCCCATCCACTCTAGGTACCAGCCACTCCTGCTTGAGTAGTTCACAGATATCTCAAACCTAATATGTAAAGATTGAAACCCTTGATTTTCTCCCCTGAGCCTCATCTCCCCAGTTCTTTCCCATTTCCACAAATATTCCCACCCCTTGAAGTTGCTCAAGCTAGAACTCTAAAAGTCGCCCTTGACTTCTATCTCTCACCACTTTCGTGGCAGATTCTACCAGGCATCCCTGCTGTAGGTCCTACATCCTCCATCTTCCTTCTGTGCTATTTCTGACCCCTTTCCAAGCCACCGTCCCACCTCCCCTGGACTGTCACAGAGCCCTTCCCTGACCTCACTGAGCACTTCCACTGTCTCTTTTCCATGCAGCGCCAGGCGATCTGAAAAATAAATACACCTGTCACTTCCTTGCTTTACCCCTGGAGACCCTGTGGGATCCGGCCTATCCACTTCTCCCACCCTCCCACACTGTCTGGCTTTCTGTTTCCTTCACTCCTGGAGACCTTTCCAGTCTCGGTAAGAAACTAGACATGCAGTTTCATCTTCCTAAGATGCCCACCCCACGGTCTCTCTTCACATCCTGGCTCCTCTTCATGGGGATATGATGCCCCTGGTCTCCCCTCACAGTGAGCCCCCCAGCCCCAATCACTTTCTTCTCTCCCCACCTGTTCTCCTGCCAGCACTCCTCACAGTTTATAATCACATGTTGATTACTTCTTGTTTATTTTCTGTCACTAGATTGGAAGCTCCTGAGGAGGAAGTCCTGTGTTTGTTTGTTTTTTAATATTTATTGATTTGGCTCTGCCAGGTCTTCGTTGTAGCACATGGGATCTTTTGAATTCTTAGTTGTGGCATGTGGGATCTAGTTCCCTGACCAGGGATGAACCCAGGCCCCTTAATTGGGAGCATGGAGTTTTAGCCACTGGACCACCAGGGAAACCCTGGGGATCCTGTGTTTTATTCCTGACTATCAGCTGCTTCTCACATTGAGACAGCATGGAGTTGGTGCTGGCCATATTCCAGACACCCTGTGAGGCTGGAGACCTGAGGGTTGGCATTAGGATTGGCCTGAAGGAGGGCTGGCATTTAGGCCAAGGTGACTTCAGTTTCTGTCACCTGGCTGGGAATAAGAATTCCCCATACAGAGGAGAAGCAGCTTAGAGGAGGTAAGGAACCAGGTTTGCATTGCACTGAGCTTGAAATAAGCCTGCTCATCGAAAAAGCAGGAGAGTTTCAGAAAAACATCTATTTCTGCTTTATTGACTATGCCAAAGCCTTCTACTGTATGGGTCACAATAAACTGTGGAAAATTTCTGAAAGAAATGGGAATACCAGACCACCTGACCTGCCTCTTGGGAAACCTGTATGCAGGTTAGGAAGCAACAGTTAGAACTGGACATGGAACAACAGACTGGTTCCAAATAGGAAAAGGAGTACATCAAGGCTGTATATTGTCACCCTGCTTATTTAACTTACATGCAGAGTACATCATGAGAAACGCCAGGCTGGAAGAAGCACAAGCTGGAATCAAGATTGCTGGGAGAAATGTCAATAACCTCAGATATGCAGATCACACCACCCTTATGGCAGAAAGTGAAGAGGAACTAAAGAGCCTCTTGATGAAAGAGAAAGAGGAGAGTGAAAAACTTGGCTTGAAGCTCAACATCCAGAAAACTAAGATCATGGCATCTGGTCCCATCACTTCGTGGCAAATAGATGCGGAGACAGTGGAAACAGTGGCAGACTTTATTTTTGGGGGCTCCAAAATCACTGCAGATGGTGATTGCAGCCATGAAATTAAAAGACGCTTACTCCTTGGAAGGCAAGTTATGACCAACCTCGACAGCATATTAAAAAGCAGAGACATTACTTTCCCAACAAAGGCCCATCTAGTCAAGGCTATGGTTTTTCCAGTGGTCATGTATGAATGTGAGAGTTGGACTGTGAAGAAAGCTGAGCGCCGAAAAACTGATGCTTTTGAACTGTGGTGTTGGAGAAGACTCTTGAGAGTCCCTCGGACTGCAAGGACATCCAACCAGTCCATCCTAAAGAAGATCAGTCCTGGGTGTTCATTGGAAGGACTTATGTTGAAGCTGAAACTCCAATACTCTGGCCACCTCATGCGAAGAGTTGACTCATTGGAAAAGACCCTGATGCCGGGAAGGATTGAAGGCAGGAGGAGAAGGGGATGACAGAGGATGCGATGGTTGGATGGTATCACCGACTCAATGGACACGGGTTTGAGTAAACTTGGAGTTGGTGATGTACAGGGAGGCCTGGTGTGCTGCAGTTCATGGGTCGCAAAGAGTCGGACATGACTAAGTGACTGAACTGACTGACTGACTGACTGAACTAGCATTGCAGCCCCAGAAACGAACAGTGGAGGTCCCCCCCATCGAGATGTGTTTGGATATGTCAGTGTTATAACACCACACCTGATGACTCTTATATAACGAGCGTTCCCTTCTTCTGCCTCCCCCTTTACTGATGACCTGGAGGCCCGAGTTTGAGTTGGGATCCTCAGCCATCACCGTATATGGCAGCAGAGCCCACCCCCAGCCTTTAGCCCCTGCCTTCTCTCTCCCCCGCCCTGGCTTGATACAGCGTGTGCATAGAGGGACATGACCTGCCCCCAAGCCCAAGCCATGTTCACCTCTTGACTGTCTCTCCGCCTCCCTCCAGGTCTCGGGCTGCACAGAGCGGTGATGCAATGTCCACAGAGGGTAGAGACCCTGTGAGTCCAGGAAGCAGAGAATCCCAGATTCCAAGGTGTCCAGGGTGTGATGCAGAAAGGCCAGATGGGCATGTCCCTAGGGACTCCTTGCTGTCTGTGTGTGTGTGTGTGTGTGTGTGTGTGTGTGTGTGGTGTGTGTTGGTGGGTGCAGCTGGAGCCACGCCCTCTCTGCTATGGGCCAGGCTGGCCCGGGTCTGAAGCCCTTGACTGTGGGTCTTTTAAAAAACAAAATAATTAATTACTTTATTTTTGGCTGCAGTGGGTATTGTTGCTTCCCAAGGGCTTTCTCTAGTTGCGACTAGTGAGGGCTACTCTCTTCTTATGGAGCACCAGCTGGAGGAACGTGGCCTCAGTAGTTATGGCGTGCAGGCTTAAGGCACGTAGCTCCAAGGCACCTAGGATCTTCCCAGACCAGGGATCGAACCGGCATCTCCTGCGTTGGCAGCAGATCCTTTACCATTGAGCCACCTGGGAAGCCCCTCCGTTAAGACCTAGCCACACATAAATCGAGGGGAAAAGAAAAGTTGGCAGCCCCAGGGCCCTCCTGAGTCCCAGTGGGTGCCGTGCAAGGGGCCGAGAGCTGGGCAGAGACGAGAACCTGGTGACAGAACCGCAGGGTGGAGGGTGGGGCGTGCTCACAGCCCAGGGCGCTGCGTCTTCCTCTTTTTCTCTCCCAGGCCCTGACTCTGGGCTGTGCAGAGGGTGGGGGTCCCCAGGAGCAGGGGGCTGGCGGCCAGAGGCACTGAGCCTGGGAGCAGGGTCTCTCACATTGGGGCAGGAAGTTTGAGGTGCAGAGCAGCTGGGGAGCCCCACAGGCCTGAAGGGGGCAGGGAGGGTGAGTGTGGTGAGGGGAGCGGAAGTCGGAAGCCGCTGCCGCCACGTTCACCATTCACAGGGCTGGCGGACCGGGCGGCAGGATCGCTCCAGGGCAGCCAGGGCCACGCATCCCTTCCCGGTCCTCTGGAGGTGAGCAAGGTGGGCCTGCGTGGGGTGGGGGCGGAGGGTGCAGGGAGTCATGCGCGGACCCTAGTGGGGCAGGTGGGCAGGAAGGAGGGCCCTGAAGGCCTGTGCGCCGGCCGTGAGCCCGCCCCGGGCCGCAGCCCCATCCTTCTCCTTCCTCCTCTCCATCAACCGGCCGCCTCCCAATCTAGCCCTTTCCCTGAAGCCTGCTATGGCTCCCACTTACTCCAGCCTCCCAGGGAGACCCTTCCTGAATCTTCTGTGAGCCTCCCTGGGTCCCTGGTGACTGGTGCCCAGTGGGGGTTAATGAGGCTAGAGGCCCCAAATGACTCCTCAACCCTGGAGAGAAGGAAGCCATTTGGGATGGGGGCAGCTTTGGGTGTGGTCATCGTAGGAGCTCAGACTTGGGTCGCCCAGCCCCGCATTGCCTTCAGGCCCCCCACAGCAAGGCAGGGTTAGGGGGAGGGGGCCCAACTTGCTGGCTTGCCCTGGCAGCACGAATTCAGGCTTATCGCCCTGATGGTTGACAGGAACAAGCTCACTCTCAATGGCGTCCCTGTTTGGGACAATATCAAGCTTCCTAGCTCTTATCCTCAGCCACCGCCCCCTTATTCTAGGGCCGGAGATCCTACAGGCAGAGTCACTCTTCTCTGCTAAAAGCCTGGGGAGGGTGACCTGTCATCAGCTGATAATAAACATCCCACAGGACTGTGGGGCCTCAGCCAGGAGGCCTGTCTCCCAGGCTTTAGGACATCACAGGGCTTCTTGCTCTGCAGATAAGGAGCTACCCAGCCTGTGGATTAAAATCTGGGCTCAGGGCTTTTTGTTGTGGGAGGGGGAGATCCAGGAAGGCATGAGGGAGGTCCGGGTTGGCCCCGAGGCTTTGTTGTCCTCCTGTGTCAATAGTTACCCTTGGGCTCTCTGCCCCCTCATCTCCTCTGCCCCTGGCTCATCTTTTCTGCTCACCACTCTCTCTTCTTCTCTTTCCTCTGTATTCTCCCTCCATGCCTGCTTCTCAGCTGACCCATCTCAGGGTTCTCAGCACCAATGGCGTGTGTATGTGTGTGAGTGTTTCGCTCTCTCTCTCGCTCTCTCTGCACATTTGCATGAAGCTGCCTTCCGTGTGGGCAGGATGTGGGGTGGCCCCTCATCATATGTCATGTACCTTGGGTGCCCTGGCCCCAGGTTCAGGAAGGGGTGTCTGTCCTGCAACTTCAGCCCGGGGACAGTGTGCAGGGGAGGGTAACTGCCCGCAGAGCAACACCCTTCACCTGGCTGCTGCTCAGGGCTGCTGAAGGACAGGGCAGATCACCTCTTAAATCCCAGGATGGGCCAGAAGACTTTGGTTTTTGCACAGGAAGGGAACATTGCCAGGGCGAAAGGAGGCAGCTTTCTGAGTTGGAAGCTTAAAAGGAGAGAGAGACACACACAGTCCAGACAGGACATCCAGGAACCGACTCCTCAGGTCCAGAGGGAGCCCATCGGGCTGAGCCCGTGCTCTCATGGAGGGCCCTGTGTTTGCTTGTTTTCATGTATTTTTTCTTCTCCAAATGGACCTGCAAAGCAGCCAGGTTAATCCAAGCAGGACATGGTATTTCTGAGCACCTCCCAAGGGCAGGCTCAGCATTGTCACTCAGACCCCCTCCCATATTCTCTCCTTCTTTTCTGAAAAGATTTTATTTATTTGTTTACTCATTTATTTATTTTGGGCTGCACTGGGTCTTCGTTGCTGCACAGGCTTTCTCTAGTTGCGGTGAGTGAGGGCCACTTTTCATTGCAGGCTTCTCATTGTCGTGGCTTCTCTTGTTGCAGAGCACAGGCTCAAGAGTGTGTGGGGCGTGGGCTCAGGAGGTGCAGAGCGTGGGCTCAGGAGTCACGGCGCTCAGGCTCAGTTGTGGTACATGGGCTTAGTTGCTCTGTGGCCCGTGGGATCTTCTGGGACCAGGAAACAAACCGGTGTCCCCTGCATTGCAAGGTGGATTGTTATCCCTTGGACTGCCAGGGAAGCCCTGCACCCATTTTCTAGCAAACTTCCTGAGAAGACTTATCCATCATATTTCCTTCTTTCACAGGCAAGGAGCCAGGTGAAGTTTTGCTCCAGAGTCATGTGGCTCGTCAGTGGTAGTTAGGATTTGAGAGTAGGCTGTGAGCTTCCAGGGCATGGCAAGTAGGGGCTGAATGTGTGACACTCCTGCTGTCCCCTGTCCCCCTTGGACAGGCTCTCCCCTGGCCTCCTGTCGCCTTCAACACCTCAGGGCCCAGGCTCTGTGCCCAAGTGGGGTGGAAAGAGAACCCACTCTCAAAAGGATGATCTGGGTGCCATCTGGGCTCCTTCCTTCCCCAAGATGGGAAAAAACCTTGCCTTGAAGCTGGGGGGAGAGGTTAGGTGAGGGTAGAAGGGACTTATGTCCCCGTGGTCCCCCAGCTGTCGGGTTCTGTGTCCTGTACCTACCATCAGCTAATACAGACTCAGCCCCAGCAGTGGTCACTCCTCTCTGGACAGGAGCCCTGGGGGGCTGCCCAGTGGAGCACCCATTCTCTCCCATCCCTCCCTCATCCCCCGCTTCCTCCCCAATCTTTCCCCTCACTGGCTTCTGGACTCAGAGCATTTTCTTGGGTTCCAAAGAGCCACCCCACTTCTCCCAGAAGTTTTCCTTAAGCTTCCTGACCCATCATGGTGCTTAGAGACATGAAGGGCCGCTCCTTTCAGAGAGGACGGAACCCAACTAAGAGACCCGTGTTGGACACTTTCTCCTTTGTTCTGGTTGAGATACCTGAGTGATTTTAAAAATGATTTAAAGTGATTTTAAAAGAGGTAACACTAAGTACCAAGGGTGGGGGAGGGAATAAACCAAGAAAATTCTAGATGCTTGAGACCTGGACTCTGCTCCCCAATTCCTGGCCCACCTCTGCCTAAGAAGTGCCATCCTACCTCCAGGAAACAGAGACTGGTCTCCACCTTTGACCCTTGACTCTTCACCCTTGCTTGGTCAGGTTGCCTTCACCCAGGCGATTGGTGGGACTGCCATGTTGGTCATAAGAAGTGACCTCACCCCTCAGGTCATCCTGTCCATTCAGCGAGAAGCAATAGAAGAGAGAAGGGGTGGGGTGGGGGGTAGGTGGGGAGAGGCAAGGAGGGTGGGAGAGAGAGACAGAGACTCAGTCAACTTGCGTTTCTAGCGAGGGGCATAGACAAGGTGGTTGAACGGGTCCTGAACTCTCTTCCTCTCTGTCCAGCTTCTTCCTTGGAGCCAGGACCCAGATGGACGTTTTGGCTGCTGGGCTGGGCTGGCCTGGTGGGAACCACTTTTGGGAAAGCTCTGCCCTTAGGGCGCTGGGCTTCCTGGAAGTAAGGTGTGATTGGCTCATGGTCAGACTTGCCCTTAGGGGAACGTCTTTATGTCATAATCATGCTAAATCTCCTTCTCCAAGCCTCAGTCTCCCCAGTCCTGTAGTGAGGTTGTGAGGAGGGAGCTTTCTGAGGATCTATCCACCCATCCACCTACCCATCCATTCATCCATCCCTTCTTCCACCCCTCTATCCATTCATCCACCCATCCTTCTATTCATCCATCCATCCCTCCATCTATCCATCCATACATCATCCCTCCCTCCCTCCATCCATCCATCTCTCCATCTTTCCTCTTATTTTCACAAACATTTCTGGAGTGTCACCTCTGAGTCAGGCAGGCCCTGCCCTGGACAGTGGGGGAAACAGATGAATTCAGGTGACTCCACCTCAGAAGAAATTCATGCTTTGTTCAGTCCATGAATACCCAAACGAATTGATTTACGGGTGGAAAGAAAGTGCCACTAAAGGGAGCCGCAGAGCTGGATCAGACCCCAGCTTCCCCACCCACTAGCTGAGCTACCCGGGCACATTTCTGAAGCTCTCTGAGCTTTGTTTCCTTGTGAGTAGGAGGGCAATGTCACCATTTGCCTCACCCATGGGGTGACTGGCAAGCCTGAAGTCTGGGATGCAAAGCACAAGCTAGGTGAGTGACACCCTACTAATGTCCAGAGAGATGGGCGCTCTCGACATGAGTTGAGTTGTCAGATACAATAGAGTCCAAAGCTAAATTTAAATTTCAGATAAATGAGTCGATTTTCAGTGTAAATATGTTCCCAGTATTGGGCATCTTCTGTTGTGTATTTGCTAAATGTGGCAACTCTGCCTAGAGGTTGTGTGCGCCCATGTGGACCTGTCTGCCTGGAACCAGGATGCCTGCCGCCAGGCTCTATAACCCCAGGTGTCTCATGAGTGGTCCTGAGCCTCTCCAGTCCACACTAACCCTCAGCTTTCTAACCGCTGGAACTAGAGGATAACGCTGTGCCCCCCACACTCGGCAGCTGGAGCGGGTATACACAGTTCAGTTCAGCTGATCAGTCATATCTGACTCTTTGTGACCCCATGGACAGCAGCACGTCAGGCCTCCCTGTCCATCGCCAGCTCCTGGAGTTTACTCAAACTCATGTCCATTGAGTTGGTGATGCCATCCAACCATCTCATCCTCTGGTCCCCTTTTCCTGCCTTCAATCTTTCCCAGCATCAGACTCTTTTCAGATGAGTCAGTTCTTTGCATCAGGTGGCCAAAGTATTGGAGTTTCAGCTTCAGCATCAGTCCTCCCAATGAACATTCATGCTTAATTTCCTTTAGGATTGACTAGTTTGATCTCCTTGCAGTCCAAGGGACTCTCAAGAGTCTTCTTCAGCACCACAGTTCGAAGGCATCAATTCTTTGGTGCTTAGCCTTTTTTCTTGTCCAGCTCTCACATCCATAAATGACTACTGGAAAAACCATAGCTTTGACTAGACAGACCTTTATTGGCAAAGTAATGTCTCTGCTTTTTCAATATGCTGTCTAGATTGGTCATAATTTTTCTTCCAAGGAGTAAGTGTCTTTTAATTTCATGGCTGCACTCACCATCTGCAGTGATTTTGGAGCCCCCAAAAACAAAGTCTGTCACTGTTTCCCCATCTATTTGCCATGAAGTGATGGGACCAGATGCCATGATCTTAGTTTTCTGAATGTTGAGTTTTAAGCCAACTTTTTCACTCTCCTCTTTCACTTTCATCAAGAGGCTCACACAGTTGCTCACTAAAGTGATTGGGGTAGCATTTTTGTAGGAAATAGTGATAGCAAGAAACACAAAGAACCTCCTTCTGGGGAGGGGGGGCAAGTGATAACCAGGTGGGTTGACACACTAGAAATTACATGATGGAGTAAATGCTCTGAAATACGAGAGAGAAGGGGGTGGTGTGCTGGCATAGCTCTTTCCCCACCATGTGCTGGATCTGTCAGTCTTCCCCCAGTCCCCACCCCACCTCCCTCACGCCCCTCTGTCCCCTCAGGCCCTAGCAGTCTGTTCCCTTTGGTCTCTGGAAAGCTGCTACAACTTCTCTGATTTTTCTTTCCCTTTGAATCCATGGAGGAAGACCCCTTTTCTTCTGGGAAGGCAAGTTCAACCCTCATTTATGTCTAGCATGGTCATTAACATTTACCTGTATGTCTGCTTTGCTTCATATACAAGTTTAATTATAAGGGCTTCCCTGTTGGCTCAGTGGTAAACAATCCACCTGTAAATGCAGGAGACACCAAGATGCAAGTTTGATCGTTGGGTCAGGAAGATTTCCTGGAGGAGGAAATGGCAACCCACTCCAGTATTCGTGCCTGGGAATTCCCATGGACAGAGGAGCCTGGTGGGCTACAGTCCACAGGCTTGCGAAGAGTCAGATACGGCTGAGTGACTGAGCACTTTGGCAAAGAGGGATGTGTGGAACTCCTGTCTTATTAAAAATTGCAGGGCACACTTTCCTCCGGCCCCCTGCCCATCATTTTCCATTCCCGTTATTGTCATTTGAACTTGGCTGTCAAGCAATTCACTAACAAGAGGAGAGGAGTTGAAGTCATTTAGGCAGAATGCTGTGATACCCACAAGGATTTGCTCCTAAGGTAAACACATATCAGAGTGTGAGGAGGAGTGAGGACTGGAGAGGGGGCATCTCAGGAGGGGAGCCTGCTGGACACAAACAGACCAGGTCTTGGCAGGGAGGGATGGTCAAGGGGTCTGGGAATGGAGCTAGGGATGCCCCGAGTTCAGGTGTCTGTGATGGAGGTGCTTCCCTGTGCCTCTGCCCTCCATCTCATAAATGGAGCTATTTCCTGAGTTTCCCATACCATAAGGGCTGTTTCCCTGGTGGCTCAGGCAGTAAAGAATTTCCCTGCAATGCGGGAGACCCAGGTTCGATCCCTGTGTCAGGAAGATCCCCTGGAGAAGGGAATGGCTATCCACTCCAATATTCTTGCCTGGAGAATTCTATGGACAGAGGAGCCTGGTGGGCTACAGTCCATGGAGCCATGGGATTGCAAAGAGTCGGACATGCTCGAGCACCTAGCAGTTTCAAGGGCTATTTCCTTGAGAAGCCTGCAGTGTGTGTGTGTGTGTGTGTGTGTGTGTGCGCGCGCGTGTGCGCATGGGGGGGTGGTGTCTCACCTCTTTATTTATACTTGGTCATTCTCCAGGTAGGCCTGGGGAGGGAGGTTTGGCTCCAGAGGGGTTGCCCAAATACAGATGGTGGGTTCTGACCTCACTCATTCTTTCCCCCATGGAGATAGGATCATAGCAGGGCTCTCACTCAGAGAGGGGAAGAGTTGAAAATGGACAGCTGCTTGGGGGGAGCACAGTAGCCAGGGATTGCCCCTGAGGTCAGCCGAGGACTTAGGGAGTGAACCATACAAGTCCTCAGCCTTTAACCTGGGGAAGGTATGGGGTGGAGAGGAAGATGCTCAAATGATGACTGAAAGTGAAAGTGTTAATCGCTCAGTCATGTCTGACTCTTTGTGACCCTGTGAGCTGTAGCCTGCCAGGCTCTTCTGTCCATAAGATTCTCCAGACAAGAATACTAGAGTGGGTTGCCCTTCCCTTCTCCAGGGGATCTTCCCTACCCAGGAATCAAACCTGGGTCTCCTGAACTGCAGGCTGATTCTTTATCATCTGAGCCACCAGGAAAGTCCCAGATGATGACTGAGGCTGAGCTAAAAGAGTTGGAGACCCATAGGAAGAGCAGATTTCAAACTGATTGGATTCAGAGCATCAAATACAAGACTGAAAGTAAGAAGTGACCTCAGCTCTTGGGAAATTCCAGTCTACTGGGGAGGCCAGCTGAGAGCTCAGTGGTAAATCGGGCCTTCCTGGGGCCTAAAGCTTCAGAATCCCGAGGCCACAGGTTGGCAATTACAGATTCTTGCCGTGCTCACAGTGAGGGATATGAGGGTTGGGACAGAGGGAGAAGTAAAAACCCAGAAAAGGATTCTGGTTTTGAGAGACTTGTTGGAGGATGCTCTCGAGGGGAATAAGAAACTGAAATTCACGCTGGTCCTGTCTTGTTTTTCTCTGGCACCTCCTGAAAGAAGGAACAGTACCCGGTTGCGCTGTCTTGGTGACCTTAAGCAATAGGACCCCACCCAGCCTTGGTTCCCTGTCTCTGAGACTTCCCCCTTATTGAATGTCTCCTGGTAGACCATGAAGTAGGTGGACAGTGGGTATTGGGAAATCACACATGGTTGTAAGTCAGGAGCAGGGATATGTGTGTGTTTATTTGTGCCTTTGTTCCCCCCAGATATTTCAAAAAACAGCTTAATGTATACACAGTCCTCCAAGTAGACATCTCTGAGTGAGGAAAGTAAGGCAAAGGGAAAATGAAAGATGTGAGGTGGTCTGGGGTGCATTTATTGTTCTATTTTTATTTATTTGACTGCACCAAGAAATAGTTGCAGCAAGTGGGAGCTTTAGTTGCAGCTTGTGAACTCTCAGGTGCAGCAAGTGGGATATGCTTCCCTGACTAGGCATTGAACCCAGGCCCCCTGCATTGGGAGCACGGAGTCTTAGCCACTGGACCAACAGTAAAGTCCCTGGGGTGCATTTAATCCTGGAAATGCATGCATAGGGCCTGCAGATTTAACCTACACTTCCTGAGGGCCTGTACAGGGAGGGAAATGGGTCCAGTTACAAGTCTCACAGTGTCCACAGGATCAGAACAGGCCGGTTGTTCTGAAGCAGCAGGGGCACTCCCAAAAGCTGTGTAACCTGGAGTCCACACGCAGGGGATGGAGATACGTCTTCTAGAAAATTCCCCGTGAGAATCCTCAGCTGCATCCCATTAGGCCCAGCCCAGAGTGCCAGTGTGGCCAATGTACTGGGCAGCTCTGAACAGATGTGGTGGAGCCCCAGGGGAACATGGGTGGACATCCCCAGCTTCCCCGCCCCCCCCCCACCCAGTCACCAAGAAGGCAGTGGTCTCTTCCCCATGCAGCCTGAGTCTTCCCTGTGGGCTGAAGCCCACCCCCCTCCCTGCAGGAGCCCAGGCTGAGCTTAGCTGCTGCTCGTCTTCCTGGTTCCACCTAGGCCAGACTGCATGGCTGTAACTGAGAATTGGCCGGTTCATGGTTGCAAGGATGCAGGCCCCGAAGGCTGGAGCCTCGGGAAGTAGAAACAAGACTGGCCATGGCCTTTCTTCCCTGGCTGCCTGCTTCTCCCTTGAGTCTGTTTCATTCCTTTCACCTCTAGTCCTTGACTGTTTGGCTCCCACATACATTGGTTTCCGTGTCTTTTTTTTGGGGGGGGGGAGTTTGCCTCTGCTTTCCTGCTAATTTGAGACATTTCTGCCTTTTGTTCTTGCTACCAACATTCTCAGCCTCAACATTCTCCAATCCAGGTTCCCCAAAGAAGGCTCTGGTGTGCTCAGTTCATCTTTTTCAGCTCAGCCACGGGAGCCACCTTCAGCCAACAGATGAGTGTCTTTCGGGCAGGTGCCCCCATGGGTACAGGCAGTTGCGATCATGGGTCAGACAACATGTATGGTACACTCCTCACCCCTGCTTCTGTGTTGAGGGCAGTGGCCCTTGACCTGGGCTGTGGATGTGGCAGGCACTCAAAACTATTTGTAACTTGCCGCTTGTGTGCTTCCAGGGGCTGACAGCCCAGTGCTAACCTGAGTTTGCTTTGGGTACTTCCAGGGTTCATGCAGGGTCCCAGTCGCCCCCCTGGCCAGCGCTCCCTCTAATCCACACAATGGGCTTGTGAAGGCGGATGCTCCTGAAGGCTCTAGCGCAGCTTACGCTCATTGGATGATGGGCGACGACGGACTCTGTGGCCACCCCAGACCTGTGGAAATCCTCGACATCTGTTTGGGAGACAACCTGCAGCCCCACTCGGAAGCCCACCTAGGGGACACCTATGGCCACCCTGAGCCTCTTGAACCTCACGGGGAGCAGACCTGGGCCCCTGTCCCTCCTGATGCTGTGAGGCCCGATGTTTGTCCCCAGGGCTCCAGCCCAGAGCCCACGCACCTGGGAAGCGGCTCTTCCCAGGAACAGGCAGGACAGAAAACCACCTCCCCCGGGTCTTCCAGGGACAGCCAGCCTCTGGGGAGCCCAGGGCAGAGCCAGAGCACGTCCACACAGGTGGTGTTCTGGGCGGGGATCCTGCAGGCCCAGATGTGTGTGCTGGACCTGGAGGAGGAGCTGGAGAAGACGGAAGGGCTCAGAGCTGAGCTGAGATGCTGCATTCCCGCGGCCCCTGCAGACCTCCCCACTTTTCCCTCCAGCCCAGTTGGCTCCCGGAACTCGGGCCTCCTCCCCAGCCCACCTGTGGATGCAGATGAGGCCTCGGGGGAAGACAGCAGCGGGCCAGAAGGAGAGACCCAGAACCCAGCATGGCCAAGGGAGGGCGCACTGGACTTGTCTCCCGAGTGGAGTGCCGAGGAGGAGAGCATCTTCTTTGACAACCCGCTCTTCCTGGAGAGCCCTTGCTCGGACACCAGTGCATCTGAAACGCACTTTTCCTGGGGCTTCTCGGACTCCTATGTAGATGTGAGGACTGGGCCCCAGAGCCCACAGACCCTGGAGCCTCCACCCCCAGGAGGCAGAGTGCCCTGGGAGCTGGGCGGTGAGCCGGATCTGGGGGAGAGCACAGCAGAGTCCAGCAGGCACACCACCCCTCCATTCCCTGTGCCCACCTACAGGCCACACTCTTTCTCCTGGGTCGTGGTGGATACCCCCGAGGGGGCTCCCTCAGCACCTTCCAGCCAGGAGGAGACCGAGGTAAACTGAGCCCCGGGAACCAACCCTTGGGCTGTGCTTGGGGACATGGACAGAAGGAAGGACCTTCCTCTGCCATCACTGTGCCCAGAACTCTCTTTCCTTTGGGGAGCAATGGAGCAGAAAGGCAGGCCAGGGTGGCCTTCAGAAGTAGAGGGAATTTTACAGGAGCCGTGATGTCAGCTGAGCACGATGACAATGCTCAGTTGTTAAGCAGATGATGTTTGTTAAGGCACAAATGTCTCCATCCCACCAGCTCTAAGGCGCTGCGTCTGGACACATTTAAAGAACAAATAGCTCCTCCCGTTGCAGTGTGTTCCAGGCCAGTCTTTAGACTCTGGCCTCCCACCTCGAAGACGGTCCCAGTTGTAACAGGGCAGGGGTCAACCTGCAGGGGTGACCTCTTCTCCCGCTGGGGAGATGTCTCCTTTGAGTCCTCTCTGGGAAAGATTGCAGCATTTTGTTACTTTTAGCATCTTTCATCGAATTTCAGTTTCACCAGCTCAGGTCCCCGGGACAATGGCAGAGGTCCTTGATATCAACTAGCACAAGTTATGGGGACAAGTTATGTGAGCACTTTTTTTTCCCCAGGGAGGCCTCGGCTTAAGAGATAAGGAGACTCAAGATGGCAGAGCCAGACTGTAACGTTCTAATCTCTGTGATCCCAGAGAACAATGGGGAAGAGCTCTGACCCCGAGATCTGAGGAGCTGTGAACACTGGCCAGGCCCCTCCACCCACAGGCTGGGGTGGAGTAGGGGGTGGTTGTGGCTCTGTTTTGTGACATGTGTTCTCGGACCTGGTTGCTTCAGGGCCCCTGAGGTCCTCAGAGGGAGGCCTGGAAGCCCTGGCCTGGGAGATGGCAGTTTGCTCTTATCTGGGATGACAGAGCCCAGCCCAGTGTCTGGGGGCTGTTGACTTTCGCTCCAACACAGCCTCTCCTTGAGCGGGCCACGGGAAGCAGGGCCCATTCTGAGCAGACAGAGCAGAGACGACTAGAAGTCAGTGAACATGGGTGAGGCCAGAGGGATGTCAGAAAGGCCCTGGAAGCAGTTTCCCTGGGGCAAATCTCTCCTCCTTTTCTTCCCAAAGAGTTCTCTGAGAGACAGCCTTGAGCCTGCCTCACCTGCAGCATCCTGTGTGGATCAAACACTTAGCTGGGAGACAGAACATGTGGAATCTAATGGCAGACGCGCCACACATCCAGTGCAACCTTGGGCAAGTCACTTCCCCTCTCTGGGCCTCACCTTTTCCACCTGTAAAGAGGGAACATGAGCCCCGTGATTTCTGGGGCCCAGCACCAGCCCACCTAGGACGTAGGTCCCATCCAGGGTGCCTCTTCTGAACCGAGGCCCGGGATCGGGGAGTGTGGTCTGGGATGGGGGAGGACAGCAGGGAAGGAGGGCCCTGTATACTTATAGTTCTGCCTCCCTCCCCATCTTCCCCTGCCTACACTGCCCCTTACACCTCTCAGTGTCTTCAGGCCTCATGGATGGACCTCTGTCTTTCTCAACAGGCCGGGCCCAGCACCCAGGGCTGGCCAACCAACGTCATTCCTTCCTGGCCCCCAGGGCCTCTTAGCTCCCAGGACAGAGGTGAGATCCAGTGTGGGGTCTGGGAAATCAAGTGGTTGGGGGCTTGCTCAGGAGTGGGGACAAAGATCATTCTTGGATCCCAGGGGTGTTGTTAAGGGGTCCCCTTGTATTGTATTAGAACCAGACAGACTTGAGGTTAAACTCTGTGTCTGCCTCTGTAACTTCACCAGTACAATGGGTTTTAATATACCCATCTCTTCTAATGGGAAGTTGCTGTATAATACGGGGAGCTCAACCCAGTGCTCTGTGACAACCTAGAGGGACAGGATGGAGTGGGGAGTGGGAGGGAATAATTTCAAGAGGGAGGGGACATATGTATACCTACAGCTGATTCATATTGTTGTATGGCAGAAACCAATACAACATTGTAAAGCAACTGTTCAGTCACTAAGTTGTGTCCGACTCTTTGCGATCCCATGAACTGCAGCACGCCAGGCTTCCCTGTCCTTCACTATCTCCTGGAGTTTGCTCACATTCATGTCCACTGAGTCAGGGATGCTTATCTAACCATCTCATCCCCTGCCCACCACCATATCTTCCAATTAAAAGTAAATTAAAAAAATAAATAATGAAATACCCATCTCTTAGGAGTAAATGAAGACTAAAAATTAAAATACTCATAGAGTAAATGAAAAATAAAGTTTTTTTTTAAATTTTTTAAAAATAAAGTAAAATACCATCTTATAGAGTAAATGATGAAATGTGCAAAAGATCCTGAAGCTGGGAAAGATTGAAGGCAGGAGGAGAAGGGGATGACAGGGGATGAGATGGTTGGATGGCATCACCGACTCAATGGACATGAGTTTGAGTAAGCTCCGGGAGATGGTGAAAGACGGAAGCCTGGCATGCTGCAGTCCATGGGGTCACAAAGAGTCAGACACGACTTAGCGACTGAACAGCAGCAACAAAAGACCCAGCCTTTTGGATGCCGGGATCTTCATGGTTTAGCAACCTTGAACCCGTGGTTGCCCTGGGGCTGGAGTTCCCTGCCTGCTGTCCCATGTGTGGGAGGTCACTGCCCCATGACCAGGGACAGAATGTGCAGTTTCAGGGAGGAGCCGGGGGGGTAGGGGAGGGAGACATGCTGGTGATGACAGCCCAGGCTGTTCCCTGGCTCTGCCAGGCCCCTTGGCCCGAAGCCTGCCCCTCACCCCGTGCCAGCTTCATTCCATGCTCTTTCTCAGGTAACAAGGATACAGAGTGTGTCCAGGAGTCTGCTCCCTGCACCGTGGCCCCTGGCCACCCCTGGGGGAGCCCAGCCTCTTCGCCAGAGCCAAGCAGCCCTGAGTCTGGGGTCAGAGGCTCCGACTCCCTGCCCAGCCCTGTCTCCTCCCGGGAAGGCAGCCTGCGGCTGCAGGGCCATCCCCCAGTCAGTGTTCTTCCTGAGTGGACACTAGATGCTCCAAGCCCTTCATTCCTGGAGACAGATGGGGTGGAGCCAGGTTCCCTGGAAAAAGAGGAGGCAGGAGAGGCCCCAAACCAAGGGAAGGAAGTAAAGTTAAGCCCCGCCAGGACTGCGGAGGCCGGAGCCAGACAGCCTGATGCTTGCCTGACTTCTGCAAAAACGTAAGTGTCATTCTAACCACCCTCTGCCTCCTAATTATGCAGGCATTTAAGAATACCCAGGCTGATTCTTTTCCCTTATAGTTTATTACAAAATATTAAGAATACTTTCCTGTGCTATTACAGTAGGTCCTTATTGGTTATCTGTTTTATATATAATAGTGTGTATATGTTAATTCCAAACTCCTCATTTATTCTTACCCCTCTTTCCCATTTGGTAACCATAAGTTTTTTTCCATTTCTGTTTTGTGAGTAAATTCATTTGTATCTTTTTTTTTTTTTAGACTTCATATATAAGTCATAGCATACAATAGTTGTCTGACTTCACTTAGTATGATAATCTCTAGGTCCATCCATGTTGCCGCAAATGGCTTATTTTATTCTTTTGTATGGCTGAGTAATATTCCATTGTATGTATGTGTATATATGTGTATAAGTAAGTAAGTAAGTAAAGTCGCTCAGTTGTGTCCGACTCTCTGTGACCCCATGGACAGTAGCCTACCAGGCTTCTCTGTCCATGGGATTTTTCCAGGCAAGAGTACTGGAGTGGGTTGCCATTTCCTTCTCCAGGGGATCTTCCTGACCCAGGAATCAAACCCAGGTCTCCAGCATTGCAGACAGACGCTTTACCATCTGAGCCACCAGGGAAGCCCTCAATGTATACCGCATCTTTTTTATCCATTCATCTGTCAGTGGACATTTAGGTTGTTTACATGTCTTGGCTATTGTAAATAGTGCTGCAGTGAACATTGGGGTGCATATATCTTTTCAAATTATGGCTTTCTCTAGATGTATGCCTAGGACTGGGATTGCTGGATCATATGGTAGTTCTGTATTTAGGTTTTTAAGGAAACTCCATACTGTTCTCCATAGTGGCTGCACCAATTTACATTCCCACCAATAGTGTTGGAGGGTTCCTTTTTCTCCATATCCTCTCCAGCATGTATTATTGGTAGACTCTTTGATGATAGCCATTCTGACTGGTGTGAGGTGACATGAGAAATGCATGCTGGGACCTAACATAGAATGTATGTAAGCCGGGATTACAGACTGGAGGGTTTAGAAGCACAAGAAACCAAAGAGCAGATGGTCATACACGTAGGGCAGGACTTGTGTGTGCCGAGGGACAGCCAGGGAGACATGTCCACGACCAGACACCAGGAGATGACCAGGGGGTTGTGCAGTGAACCTGACCAGGACCATGAGTACAGAAGGATGGGGGTCATGCTAGGCAGGTCTGGGAAGAGGGATGGTCAGAGCTAGTGGTGTGGGGATTACATGCTGCTATGAATTTGAAGATGTGACTGGAAGGCCCAGAGTGCTGACCCAGATCTCTCTCCCTCACAGAGTAGCAGGGGAAGGTTTGATTGGTACCAAAGGAATGGTGGACCTTGGGGTCCATAGCAGGATTGAATGACCCCAGAACTGTGAGCCAAGGTAGAAATAGGCCACCTGGAAATCCATTTAAATGTCCTCCTGTCCCAAGGATACTACGTGAAGCCTGTCAGCCTCTAGGATCTCTCCATGGAAAAGGGATTTTGTTGGCCAAATTGAGGTCAGATGAAAGAGATCAGGGAACACCAGTGATGGTTTAAGTGTTACATGAACTGGAAGGTGTTACACTAACTGGAAGGTTAACTCCACTCCAATCTTAATGTCATTGAGTGATGGTGAACCTCAGGCAGTATCAGAAACCAAAGAAGCATCTTTCTTCCACCGCTGGAATACTGCATGGTGTCTGGAGATGTTCACGGTAATCAGAAGAGTCTCTCAGTATCTAAAAAGAGAGCATTCATTGTACCAGAAATTAACCTTAATTCTACCCCAAATAAAAGTAAATCTACCTAAAATGTGAGCCATACTTTCATAGTAGGTAATGAAAAAGGTTTAACTGATGCTTTTCTTGGTAAACCCCACTAAATATTACAGAAATAAATTTATTTAATCTTATATTTAATACAATATAGGAAGTTAATTTTCCTGGCCTAATTTGCTGGCCCAGTGAGATGTCACTCATTCATCTTTAACTTTCACAGTGAGGTCATAAAGGTCTATTTATTACTTTATTTTATTTTGGGCTTCCTTGGTTGCTCAGATGGTCAAGAATCTGCCTGCAGTGCAGGAGACCCAGGTTCAATCCCTGGGTCAGGAAGATTAATAACAACTTTATTGAGATATAATTCACATATCATACAATCCATCCATTTAAAGTATACGATTCCATAACAGATTATATTTGCTTTGTGGGGTTTTTTTTTTTCCCTCAAAGTGCCTCCCTATCTAGATATTATTTTAGTAACAATACTAATTGACTAGGTCATTTTGGTAAAAGTATTTGAGGGCTTCGTCAGCTGATTATCCAGGTAGTTCTCTTTACATTTTTTGGCTGTACCACAAGGCATGTGTGACCTAGTTCCCTGACCGGGGATTGAACCTCTGCCCCCTGCATTGGAAGCATGAAGTCTTAACCGATGGACCTCTCAGGAAGTCCCCCAAGTAGTTCTCTTTACATGTGACAAGCATGTCATTATTTTTACTTCCTCCTCCTCAGTTGTTCATTGGAATAAGCCTTCCTGTTCTCTACTTGTCTCTGGCTTCCCAAGTGACCCCTGGAATCTTCCAGTATCACTTTCATGGACTCCATAACATCCTATGTTTTTTCGGCAAGATTTGTAATGTCACTTTTCAGTTGATTTCCATTATGTTTGCCTTGTTGGATGCAGATGAGCCTCAGGAAGTAGGGAGAAGTTATCAGCAAAGTCACTGACCCAGTTGGGGGCAGAGACATGCATTTGTGTTACGTGGAGAGGACTACTAAGTCCGGCTGAATTTTATAAGTGGGTAGTCCATTGGTGAACATTTTCGTATTGTGAAAAGTTTTGCTTCTCTGTACAACTCCCTAACTGTGGTAACCTGGATGATGCGTGCTCGCATGTGCTCAGTCGCTTAGCCGTGTCTGAATCTTTGCGACCCCATAGACTGCAGTCCGCCCAGGTTCCCCTTGTCCATGGGATTTTCTAGGCAAGAATACTGGAGTGGGTTACCATTTCCTCCTCCAGGGGATCTTCCCGACCCAGGGATCAAGCCGGTGTCTCTTGCATTGGCAGGCAGATTTTTTTTTTCCACTGAGCCACCTGGGAAGCAACTTGGATGATAATAACAAGGATACCCCAGTACTTGGTTGCAGTGTTGCAGGAACAATGCAGGAGTCAGATGGAGATTGGTCTTGGTGACTTCTGAGATTCTGAGTGTTCCCTGAGTCTGCCCGGGGGTCTCCTGGGCCTGTGTACCTTTGTAGATCCCCATCGAAGCCCCTGCAATGAGACCCCTCTATATGACAGGAAAGCTGGTATGGGAGGGCAAGGGTTGGAAACCACCTCTATGGCAACCCCAGCTATCACCATCCCTAAAGCCAGTCTAGCTTCTGGTTCTTGCCTCATCCTTGCACCATCCTTGGCTGCAGATCTAGGAGTGGAGGCTGGAGCCTTGGGGTAGGGAAGGCGGGCAAGGAGGCATGATGGGGAGGGCAGGAGAGGTGAGGGACACAAGTGGCTGCTGGGGTTTAGGGAGGTAATCCCACCCCTCCTTGGGATGGATTCAATACCACCAGGGTCTTCAAAGGGCTGCACCTGCCACCCAAGGTGAATTAGGCTCAGTGCATCCCTGTGGTTTACCTGAGAACGTGCTGGTACCAAGCTCGGCTCCAGCCCCTGCTGGCTTGGTGTGGATACTGCCCTCATTGGGCCTTCCTGGTGCCCAGGTCAGGTCAGGCGGGCTGTGACCCACACTCTTCCCTGGGGGTAGAGGGTAGCCCCAGCTCCCACTCTGAGCTCTGGGCATGGACTCTGAGCACTACTGCCCCCCACTGCCCCAACTGACCTCAAGGACACCTGACCCAAAAGCCCTTTGTCTCCATCCCAAATGGGAGCCTGAGGACAATGATGGACTTCCACAGGCTTCCTGGGAGCCCTGTGCCCCCAGAGGAAGGCCAGAGGCCCCCGGCTGGAGACAAGCTGGCGAATGGCGTCAGGACTGACAAGGTGGCCTGGAACTTGGCCTCTCGCCTCTATCACCTGGAGGGCTTCCGGAAGTCTGAAGTGGCCGCCTACCTGAGGAAGAAGTAAGGGCTTTTGAACTCAAGCAAGGCTGGATGTCTAGTCAGGATGGGGAGGACCACTGATGGGCCATCCTTGCTGCCCGTGTCCCCCCACCACTGACCTCTCATGCCTTCACTCCTGCCCTGTCCACCGCACCCCCTCCCCTTCACCCCCAGACCCTTGTTGTGCCTCTGTCTCTTAGTCACATTGGACCACCCTCAGTCCCTGCCTAGAGCTGCCAGACCTGCCCACCTGCCTCCCTTACCCCAACCCCATGTCCCTCCTGCTCAGCGCTGATGGGGTCCCAGGGGCTGCCGGTGCCCTCTTGGGCCCCAGGGTCCACCCTGGCTGTGCTTTTCCTTTGATCGCACCCCCAGCCCCCGTCAGGCCCCAGGAGGCCCGCTGGTCCCCATCCAGGCTTCATCCCCACTTTCCTTCTGCAGCAATGACTTCAGCAGGGCCGTGGCTGAGGAGTACCTGTCCTTCTTCCAGTTCGGAGGCCAGAGCCTGGACCGCGCGCTCCGGTAACACCTGGGAGCCTTCTCTGGGGAGGAGGGATGGCTGGTGGGGAAGCAGGGGGGAAGCACCACCAGCAGAGGCTGGATTCCGGCTGCCCCGAGCTCAGGATGCCTGGCTCTGCCTGGACTTGGGCCCTCCTTCCAGGGGCTTCCTCCAGGCCCTGGTGCTCAGCGGGGAGACCCAGGAACGAGAGCGGATCCTGTACCAGTTCTCCAAGCGCTTCCATCACTGCAACCCCGGGCTTTTCTCCTCAGTAGGTAGGGAGGGGCCGGTTCACTGGGTGGTGACTGGTGGGAGTGTGCTGGGGGGCCATGGGAGCCCAGAAGCATTGGGGAGGTCCCCCCAGCAGAGTGGGCAGAGGCAGTGCAGGAGTCCCAGTTCCAACGGCCTTTTCTCTCTGTGGGGGCAGACTGTGTGCACACCTTGACCTGCGCCATCATGCTCCTTAACACGGACCTGCACGGACAGGTGAGAGCCTATGGGGGTCCTGGGAGAGGGGAACCAAGACCAAGGCCTGGGATGGGGTCAGGGAGGGCCCTGGGGACCCAGGGGAGGTTCAGGGTGGTCAGCCAGGGGTCTTGCTGCTGGAGTGGGACATGTGTGCCAGCTGCCCCCCTCTCCACATGTTCTGGCCACAGAACATTGGGAAGAGCATGAGCTGCCAGGAATTCATAACCAACCTGAACGGCCTGCGGGACGGCGGGAACTTCCCCAAAGAACTGCTCAAGGTACGGCATGGGGTCCACGTAGGGCCTAGAATCTCAGCTTGCTGTCTCGAGGGGAACATGAGCTCGGGCCTGGCTCTGCCAAGACATCCTTGAGACAACACGCCTTTTTAAAAACATAATTCCTTATTTATTTATTTGACTGTCCTGGGTCTCTGTCACCAATATGCAACATCTTCTAGTTGTGGCATGCGGGATCTAGTTCCCTGACCAGGGATCGAACCTGTCTCCCCCTGCAATGGGAGCACAGAGTCTTAACCACTGGACTGCCAGGGAAATCCCAGAACAGGCCTTCTTTACTGAAGGGAATTAAAAGTGATACTGCCCAGCCTGCAGCATCAGTGTCCCCTTGAAATGTATTAGCTTGTGTGAATTCACATCCCCCTGGCCTGGATCCACTGAATCAAATCTCAGGCTGGGCCCCTACATTGTTCCATTATGCCTCTGGGTGACTCTTAGGCCTATGAAGTCTGAGAAGCGCTGGTTTTTGGTCCTTGGTGTAAAGCTTCACGTGGTGAAAGTCTGGAGCTAGGATTCAGGAGCCAGAGGTTGCAGGGTTTGAATTCTAGCCTTGGGCAGCTTACACTTTGGCCGAGGCAAGTTCTCCCAGGGTGCGTGACCATTTTGCAGGGTTGTTACCACGATGAAATTAAGGTGGTCAAGTGCTTAGTCCAGGGCCTGGCACACAGGCTGCTTTCATAAGCAATCACAGCATTTTATTCTCCTGTCTATTCAGCGAACATTGACTGAACACTTACTATCTGCATGGCACCCCCACTAGGTGTGGCCAGAGCTTCAGAAGCCAGCCAGCCGCGTGGACATGCGTACTCTTGGTCATATCATTTCAAAGTCATAGCATCTTGTTTATTCATTGACTCAGCAAATGCTGACTACTCTGTAGTGAGCCATTCCTGCTGCCTCAGATCCCTCTGGGCAGGATGGTATGTGGGTGATTCATTTCCCCTTCAAGGGAACTAGTTCAGGCCTCACTAAATTCAAGGAAAGGGCTTCCCTCGTGGCTCAGATGGTAAAGAATCCACCTGCAATGCAGGAGACCTGGGTTTAATCGTTGGGTTGGGAAGCTCTCCTGCAGAGGAAATGGCTACCTGCTCTAGTATTGTTGCCTGGCAAATCTTATGGACAGAGGAGCTTGGCAGGCTATGGGCTTCTCTGATGATGCAGGCAGTAAAGAATCTGCCTGCAATGCGGGAGACCTGGGTTTGATCCCTGGGTTGGGAAGATCTCCTGGAGAAGGGCATAGTAACCCACTCCAGTATTGCTTGGAGAATCCCCATGGACAGAGGAGCCTGGCGGGCTACAGTCCATCAGGTCGCAAAGAGTCAGACCCGACTGAATGACTAAGAACACACACACAGCGGGCTGGAGTCCATGTGGTCACACTGAGCACAAACAAAAGTCCAAGGAAGGACAGGGATTGGTTTGTTCACCCTTGTGTCTCCAGCCCCCAGGACAGTGCCCAGCACATGGCGAATGCCTGATAAATTGTTGCCTGCATGCATGGATCCATGGGTTGCCTGCTGCCCAGGGCAGAAGGGCAGCAGCACTGGGATGGAGGTGGCAGCATGCCCATCCTACCTCTGCCAGAGTATGGGCCCCCTGGCCTGAGGCTCTCCGGCCCAGCTGTGTGTTTCTGTTCCAGGCCCTCTACTGGTCTATCCGAAGTGAGAAGCTCGAGTGGGCCGTGTAAGTGAGACCCATCTTCCCTCCCCACCCTCTCTCCTGCCCGCCCTCCTCCCACCTAGCTGAGTGGGAGAGTTCAGGGTCCCGGACAGTGCTCCCCTCTGCATGGGTGGAGCCAGAGGCAGGGCATCAGGCCGGTCTCAGAGAGGGTGCAGGGGGGCATGTAACACTTGGAGGAGCCAGAGGCCATGAGGGCATAGGGATGAAGGAACTGATGGGCTGACCTTGCAGGAGGGCTTCTTTTAGGGGGTCCTGAGGTGTGGCTGCCCAGCAAGAGAGAGGGTGGGTCCTGAGGCAGAGGTGCCTCCTGGTGGCCTCTGCTCATTCAAGCAGCCCCAGCCCGATTCTCTGATGCCCAGGGATGAAGAAGACGCAGCCAGGCCCGAGAAGGCCCGGCCATCTCCCCCGGCTGGCAAGATGAGCAACCCTTTCCTCCAGCTGGCCCAGGACCCCACGGTGCCCACCTACAAGCAGGGCTTCCTGGCCCGGAAGATGCACCAGGATGCGGATGGCAAGAAGAGTGAGTGTCTGCCTGCTGTCGGGCATCTGTCTACCAGTGTGTGCAGAACGCCCTGCCCAGGAACACGATGTCCTGAGCCGATGTGTGTGCAGGTGTGCAGAGAGACGGCATGGGTGGAGGACGGGCAGCCCATGGTCCTTCCTTAACAGTGACTGTAAGCTCGGGGCTGGGGGTGAGGGAGGTGATGCAGAGACAAGACAAACCTAGGGATCCCCCACCCCTTGGGCCTCTGTGCCAAGGTGGGAATTAGACAAACAAGGCAATGTCTGGGATAAACAGAGGAGCTAGCTGTGTGGTGCAGGGAGGTCTCGATCGGGTATGGGGTGTGGGGGAGGGTGAGGCTTCTGTTTTTGTTTTGGGGGTAGAATATGGGAGACAGGACAGTTAAGGTTTCTGGGACATGATGGTCTCAGAGCTGAACCTTGGAGGAAAAGAGGGTCTGGTTATTTGCAGAGAGATCCCCACCAGGAAAAGAGCACAGGGTGGGTTGTGTGAGAGAAGATGGCACCAGGTGCACTGGGCTTCATTCTGCAGACCGTTGAGGGCTCTGGAGCAGGGAGCCACATGACCGGAGCAGGAGTGGGATCCCAGATGGATGGGGCTGTGGTGACCAGCTAGGGGACTGGCATTTGGTTGTGAGAAGCCACATGAGCAAGGCCAAGAGGTGACCATGGGGAAGTAGGCCTTCAGCCCTAGCTTCTGAGCCCCTGTGTCTCCCTGGATAGGACTAGAAACAGGTCCCAGAAGAGCTGTGCTTGTGGGTGGGCGTGTTTGAGGGAGGATGGACTGGGTGAGCATCTACTGGTGTTGTTATTCGTAAGTAGCTCTGTTTTGGTATCTAAGCATGATTGCCCCTGTGTGTGAGACACAGTACTGCTTGCTTGTGATCTGTTGTGTTTTGTTGTGTTGGTGTGCTTCTGTGTGTTTCTGTGCACCCTGGGGAGGGACTGGCGGTGGTGAGATGGTGTGCATCTGAGGGTGTCGATGTGTGGGGGGGATCATCACCCGCCTTCGTGTTCTGCTTCCCGGGTAGCGCCATGGGGTAAGCGCGGCTGGAAGATGCTCCACACCTTACTTCGAGGGATGGTCCTCTACTTCCTGAAGGTAGGGAGGGTGTCTGCACCCCTGATGGGCCGTGTGGGAGGGTGGGCAGCTGATGGAAACCTCTTTTCTGAGCCCCTGTTGCCCTGTGGCAGGGAGAGGACCACGGCCTTGATGGGGAGAGTTTGGTGGGGCAGATGGTGGATGAGCCGGTGGGGGTGCACCACTCACTAGCCACCCCCGCCACCCACTACACCAAGAAGCCACATGTCTTCCAGCTGCGCACGGCCGACTGGCGCCTCTACCTCTTCCAGGCACCGTAAGTCGGGGGCGGGGATGAGAGATAGCAAGGCCCCAGCCTTCATCCTGTGAACCTCTCATTGTCTGATGGGTGCTGGCCCTACCCTGGAGGGAGGTGCAGGCTTGACCTGAGATGTTTCACTGGTGGGCCCCAGATACACATGAAGTGTGGGGAGCGGGGAACTTCCGGCTACCATCCCCTGCCCTAAGCCCGTTTCACCCCTGGGACCACCTCTTCCTTGAAAGTTGGACTAAGCCTCCCAGTTCCAAACAGAGGATTCCAGGAAGCCATGAACACTTGATCATTTTTTGGCATTTGATATAAACTGTATTGGGCTTCCCTGGTGGCTCAGTGGTAAAGGACCCCCCTGCCAATGCAGGAGACTTGGGTTCGATCCCTGGATCGGGACGATCTTCTGGATAAGGGAATGGCAACCCACTCCAGTATTCTTGTCTGGAGAATCTCATGGACAGAGGAGCCTGGCGGGCTGCAGTCCTTGGGGTCCCAGAATTGGACACGACTGAGTAACTAAACATAAACTCTATTGCCTTCCCAGATTTGCCTCTGTTGGGTGAGAAAAACCACCAGCAGAGGTCAGCCACCTCAGCTAGTGGCAGGACTTCTGGCTTTTGTAGCTGGGTGGCTGTGCTGACCACCGGAGGCTGGAGGGCTGGGATAGGCTAGCACTCTGTGGTCCAAGGAACAGACCGCTCTCTCTGCCCACAGCACTGCCCAGGAGATGACTTCCTGGATCGCGCGCATCAACCTAGCCGCCGCCACGCACTCGGCTCCGCCTTTCCCTGCCGCGGTGGGCTCCCAGCGCAAATTCGTCCGGCCCATCCTGCCCGTGGGCCCAACCCAGGGCTCCCTGGTAAGACCTGAGCCTGAGGGAGGGGCGGGATGTGGTGGTGCAATACACCCTGGAGGACTAGAAGGGAGATGAGAGGCTGTGCACCAGGCCTAGGAGAAGTGGGGGACGGGGGCTGGGCTGAACATCTGGGCCCCTGGGTCAGGATGGAGCTGTCCTCCTGGGCTCAGGAACAGAGAGGGGACGTCTTGGGATGGTGGGGACAGAGAGGGAGGGCTTGAAACATCTCCCCGCACCGCCTCCCGCTCCCAGGAGGAGCAGCATCGATCCCACGAGAACTGCCTGGACGCTGCCTCTGACGACCTACTGGATCTGCAGAGGAACTTACCCGAGCGGCGAGGCCGCAGCCGGGAGCTGGAAGACTACCGCTTGCGGAAGGAGTACCTGGAGTACGAGGTGAGGTCCGGGTGTCTCACCCTCCGCCTGGACCCTCTGCCGCCCTCTCATGGCCGTGGCCGTCCCTGCAGCCTTGGCTCCCCGCCGCTCAGGGCAGGGGGAGGGGCTTGGGTGAGATCGCCAGCCCTGTGTGAATGGTCTACACACGCGAATGTGTGCACACGCCTGCACAAGTGTGTGTCCGTGTGCACTCAGGCCACTTCACCTCTTGTTCTGGGAATACAGCAGCTGCTTGTCTGGTAACACTCGTGTGTATGTGTGTGTGTGTTGCTCAGTCTTGCCCCCCAGCCAGGCTCCCTTGTCCTTGGGATTCTCAGGCAAGAATACTGGAGTGGGTTGCCATTCCCCTCTCCAGGGGATCTTGCCAACCCAGGGATCAAGCCTAGGTCCCTTGCTTTGCAGGAAGATTCTTTACCATCTGAGCCAACTGGGAAGCCCAACTATTATATTATTTTATATATGTGTGTGTGTCTATATATATATATATATATAAAATTTTCTTGGCCACACCTTTTGGCACATGGGATCTTAGTTCCTGGCCAGGGATCCAACCCATGCACCCTGCATTGGGAGTGCTGAGTCTTAACCATTGGACCGCCAGGGAAGTCATGGAAAACCTATATTTTAACAGAATTATTTCCCCTCATACCTACCTAATACTATTATAATAGGCAGTATTTCTGAAGCTTGTTGCATGGATTGTCTTATTTAGTCATCCAGCTACTCTGGGGTAAGGACACTAATCCTCATTTTACAGATGAGGAAATGGAGGCACAGAGAGATTAAACTTGCTCACACCTGATATACTTGCATGAAACCTGATCACATCCATGCCTCATTCATGGCCGTAACTAAGGAATGATCTTTGTCAGCTCTCTGATTGATGCTGAAATATTTTCCTCACCCCACCCCCAATCCTGCACCCAAATTCAGCAGGAGGGTGGGTGAGGGGCGGTGTGATAACAGAGGAGGGCAGAGGCCACCCAGGGGCGGAGAGGGGAGCAAGCATCAGTGTCACCTCCTGTCTGTGCCCACCAGCCTTGCACTATCCTCTCCCGCTCTTTCTAGCTCATCCTCTTGGGGCATTGGCTGCATCCATGGCCGTGAGCATGCCACTTGCCCGTGGTCCCAGGGCTGGCTGATAGGATCCAGCCCTGCCTGCAGCACTCCAGCCATTCCCCCCCACTGACCAGCCTTTCGCTGGGACCTTTAGCAAGGCCTTCACCCTCTCTGGTGGGCTTCCCTGGTGGCTCAGATGGTAAAGAACCTGCCAGCAATGCAGGAGAACCCAGGTTCGGTCCCTGGGGCAGGAAGATACCCTGGAGAAAGAAATGACAACCCATTCTAGTATTCTTGCCTGGAGACTCCCATGGACAGAGGAGCCTGGCGGGCTACAATCCATGGGGCCATGAAGAGTCATAAAGAGTCGGACATCGGACACGACTGAGCAACTAACACTGACCCTCCCTCTTTATAAAGCACAGTGATGACTCCTACCAGCCTCCCAGGGCCGGGATGAGGACCCAGTGGGCTGGAGGGTGGGAAAGCTCTGAGTAAACTGGGAACTGTATCTGAAGGATGCTAGTTACAGGGGCCCGAGGAGTGTTAAGCAGATGAGGGTAGTTAGCGTCATGCTCTCCAGATGCCAGTTGTTAAAATGCTATTCAGACTCAATGAGGGCTGCGTACAGATGTGTGTTGTTTGTGTGCGGTGCTGCACAGATCTCTAGCCTAGTGGGTTATGGATCTTTTAGTGTCTCAGCAACATAACGTGCTCCAGAGATGTTAGTTACAGCACCAGGCAGTGTTGGCTGTATCGAACAGGGCCAGGCCGGTGGGTGTAACTCTAAGATACCCGGGAAAGGACAGGATCTGCTGAGATCGTTGTCCAAGGGAAGGCTAGCTGTTGGCCCAGCCCTCTTTCTGCAGAAGTCTTTGTCCATGTAACATCATTCAGTGTGATCTGTCTGTCCCTCACCATCCCAGCCCCCTCCCAACCTGGAACTGGGGTGGTGCTGAGGCAGTGGGACCCATGTGTGTTCCAGAAAACTCGCTATGAGACCTACCTGCAGCTGCTCGTGGCCCGTCTGCACTGCCCGTCGGAAGACCTGGACCTGTGGGAAGAACAGCTGGGGCGGGAGGCTGGAGGCCTGCAGGAGCCCAAGCCCAGCCTGAAGAAGTCCCACTCCAGCCCGTCGCTGCATCAGGATGAGGCCCCCACCACGGCCAAGGTCAAGCGCAACATCTCGGAGCGCAGAACCTACCGGAAGATCATCCCCAAACGGAACCGCAATCAACTGTGAAGCCGGGGCCACCTCACCAACTCCCCCCCCCCCCCGAAACCTGGGCCTGCGGTGGATTTGGGATGAAACCCTAGGAAGAGTCTTATGTCAGCGGGTCCATGCTGAGGATGGGGCCCTGCCTCTTCCCCATGGAAGGATACCCTAGTGTGGTCCCCCCCCTTCTCTCCCTCGCACACCACACTGGAGTTCTGACACTGTTGCCCCCACCCCTGCTGCTCCCAAGAGAGGACAGAGGTCAAGGACTTGACTCAGCTGCCACAGTTCATCCCATTCCACCCTCCATCCCTTCAGAAGCCACAGAGGACACCTTTCCTGGACCTGGGGGATTTCTCAGCTCTCTGAGAGTCAGAGGCCCCGCGAGCTCCCTCATCCTGGAGGACAAAGACCAGGGCAGCAGAGACCTCGGCGCAGACAGGCTAGGGGAGCTGCAGCGCTGGGAGCGGTCTTGCTCTGGAAGTCAGGTGACTTGCTAGAAGAGGTCCTGGGAGACCCCAGCTGGGCCCTGCCCACTGCGGGGAACAGCATTCTGGGCAGGAGCAGAGACTCGGCAAGTTCAAGGGCTCAGTGAGGCTGGCTCTGGGGCCCCCTGCCTTTGTCTGGTCTTCCCTGCATCCTGCACACACAGGGGGCAGATGAGAGAGGCCCTGCCTCCCATGGCCAATGGCTGATCATCAGAGTGGAACCGATGGTGGTCAGCGAGGGCCGGAAGGGGTGGGGCGCCCAGAGCTCAGTGGAGAGCCCTGCAGCAAGGGCCTTTGCCTCCCCAGAGCAGGGAAGGAGGTGCTCCAGGTTCGGGGAGGCTAAGGGTAAGAGGTGGTGATGCATGCTGTGTTCCCTGGGGGCTCTGGAGAGTTGTGAGGCGCGGTGAAGGCCTGGCTCTCTCCCTACACACCCCTCCCCTGGAAGCTCCAGGACTCACTCAGGGACCCCTTCCCTGCCCCAGCTTGCTCCCAGGGGCCCTTGCCACCTCCCTGGGAAGCCCCCTTGTGCTCCCTTTGGCTGCGTCCCAGCTGGGCTGTTCACCGGACACTCGAGGACCCAAGGCTTTGCCTGTGGGAAGGAGGCCGGGCCGCCAGGCAGCCACCATTGTCTCTGTTCAGCCAAGTGTGAGAGCCGGCTGCCCGCCAAAAGGGGCCTCTTGCTACCCGCCTGCTGGCTGACGCATGTACGGCCTCTCCAGCCTTCCTGCCGCCCTGCCCTCCCCTTCGTGCTTGTAACCAGCCCTGGGGCCTGCAACTCCACCGGGTGGGGCTGGCACTTGAGGGTCACCAACAAGTGTCTGCCCGTGGCTGGGCCACACACCCAATGGGTGCACAATAACAGACCAGTGAAGAAGGAGGTGTGTACCAGTGAGGGGCGTGGGAGGGGCAGGCAGCTCTGGGCAGCTGAGGCCACCTGCAGGGTGGCAGGCTGGGTTTCCTTTGCTGTGTGTGTGCATGTGCGTGTCTGTGTGGGTCTGTGTGTGCATGTGCGTGTCTGTGTGTGCATGTCTGTGAATGTGTGTGTAGCACGCTAATCGTGTGCAGGAGTCACATAGGCTGTCACAGCAGGAGGGGACCTCAGAATCATTGATTCATCTGCTCATGGGTTCATTCTTTCATTTCTCCAATAATATTAAGTACCTTTATGGGCCAGTACTATGAGATTCAGGCATGTCCCTGGCCTCCAGGAGAGGACCATCCTGTTCTCTGGTGCCCAACTGGCAGTATAGAGTGGCCCTGGAGACATTCCCATCCTATGCCCAGGAATCTGGATCCAGTAGGTCTGGGTCAGAGGCACCAACAGTATTTTTAAGGCTCCTTGGGCCACTCTGATGGCCAGAGGCCAATTGTCTCATTTGATTAGGGTGGTAGACTAGCGCCATGTGGACGTGACTTGGCCCACAAGTGATGCTTACAGGCTGAACCACCGTGAGTGGGTTATTTGACCTCACTGACCTGTATCCTTATTTCCAAAACCAGAATAAAAGGCAGAGGTGTGTTGGCGTGCTTGCATGTCTGTGACGCTTCCATGCTTCTTTGCTCTCGTAGAACTTGTACATCCCTTTCACCTGGGCACAGAGGTCTCCAGAGCCAGGTGCTCCAGGCTGCTGGGGTGCCCCCTGTCCAGCTCTGCCCGAGCCGGGTTTGACCTGGAGGCTTGATGGGCTGTTAGGCTGCGGTTGTGACATGTGACCACTGGGGGGCGGGCTTGCATCTCCAAAGCCTCAAGCACTAGGTGTCCGGCTGCAGTTATGCCTCTGCAAGAACAGAAGTGAATTGGGTGCTCCTGGCCATCACCAGAACCAGGCTCTTCCATTTCCCGAGGGCCATAGTGGCCCAGGTCAGGCCTCTCACCAGGCAAGGCCTCCCACCATCTGGGCAGGCAAAGGGTTGGTACTTTGACATCTTCCTTCAGTGAAATGCTTCTACTTAGTTGCTCAGTCATGTCCGACTCTTTGTGACCCCATGGACTGTGACCCCCAGGCTCCTCTGTCCATGGGATTTTCCAGGCAAGAATACTGGAGTGGATTGCCATTTCCTTCTCCAGAGGATCTTCCCAACCCAGGGATCGAAACTGCATTTCTTGTGTCTCCTGCATCGCAGGTAGATTCTTTATCCATTGAGCCATCTGGTAAGACCCTCTTGCTGCTGATGGAGAGGAAAAAGTTTCTGGAGTCACATGGGGACAGCCTAGGATTCCCTACAGAATATTGTCTCAGGGAACCTACAGCAGTGAAAACTAAACTCATTTAGTTTTGACCCAGTCCCAGGCCTGCGTATGAAACAGATCAAACCCCACGGGCCTAGACTGACCTTGTCTCCACCCTCCTTTTCCTTCCCACCCAGGAGTGGGCTGGTCCATTCCTTTTTAGGGGAAGCGACTGGACACAAGCTCTTGGGGGACAGCTCAGACTACAGAAGGCTGGTTGAAGTCTGTCCTCAATGCCTCCTTTCCCACCTAGGGAGCTCAGCTCTGCCATGAGCCAGATGACACCCCAATGTAACCTTTTCCCCGTCTCTCAGCATCTCTGCTCCATCTGACTTTCTGCTAATGACATTCATTTATTTGTTGTTTGCTGGGCACCAGGGAGGAGTTAAAGGTCACTAAGGCCCGAGGGCTGGGTAATTTCCTTGTGGGACTCAGAGTCAGATGGGAACAAGAGGGCTTTGTCTGGGTTGGAGGAGCCAGACTGGAGGGTTGGAGGGGGGGTGGGGTAAAACAGAGTGGTCAGGGTGGGCTGAGGCCAAATCATAAAGGAATTAGTGTCTATGGCCATACCATCTTGAACATGCCTGATTTCATCTGATCTTGGAAGTTAAGCAGGGTTTGGCCTGATTAGTGCTTGGATGGGAGGTCATAAAGGAATTGGTGGGCAGCTCAGAAGGGTGAGTTTTGAGCAGAAGAGTGACCAGCTCATGGCTTGGAAGTTTGGCTTTAAGATGCAATAACTTGAGTTGGTGAGCCTAGAATAGGGTAGATAATGGCCTGGAGATGTTTATACTATGTGTGCAACTTTTCTGTAGGAAAAGAGGGGGCAGAGAGAATGACCTGGAACCTTGAGCCAACCTGGCAGTCTCACACCTGGGCTCTCCTCCCTTCCTGTTCCCCTCCCCCGACCTGCATGCTGCCCTGCTCACTTATGGGGTTTACTGAATGTCACACTGTGTGATGGCCCCTCCTCATCACCTGCTCTGCCAACACCTTTGTTATTGTTCAGTAGCTAAGTCATGTCCGACTCTTTGTGACCCCATGGACAGCAGCACACCAGGCTTCTCTGTTCATCACCAACTCCCAGAGCTTGCTCAAACTCATGTCCATTGAGTCGATGATGCCATCCAACCATCTCATCCTCTGTTGCCCCCTTCTCCTCCTGCCCTTAGTCTTTTCCAGCATCAGGGTCTTTTCCAATGAGTCGGCTCTTTGCATCAGGTGGCCAAAGTACTGGAGCTTCAGCATCAGTCCTTCCAATGAATATTCAGGACTGATTTCCTTTAGGATTGACTGTTCTCATCTCCTTGCTGTCCAACGAACTCTTAAGAGTCTTCTCCAGCACCACAGTTTGAAAGTTATCAGTTCTTTGACACTCAGCCTTCTTTACAGTTGAACCCTCACATCCTTACAATAATACTTTTGTCCCCAACTATTCTGCATCTAACTGGTGGCTCCACCTCTACCTGTTCCCTGCCTCCCATGGAAGGGGTGCTCCCTGCCTTTCCCTCTCTCTCCCCAATTTTCTGCCTGCCTTAGAGCTCCCCCTTGGGGGTCCCATCTGGGTCTTGGGCCTATGCTCTACCCTTTCATTATCTTGCCTTGTAAACAACTTGAAGAATCACCATCAGAAGGAAAAAAAAAAAAGACCTGTGTTTGACCCTCTGCTTCCTGTAGCCGAGACCCACGGATGTGTAGTCTTTGCCAGCTGTTTTGCTCCCTCACCTGGTTCCATTCACACCTGGCACATTGGCCTCCAGCCGCCACTCTCCACTGATGACCCTCCATCACCAAAGTCTCCTCAGCCTCCTCAGCCCTTCATCTCTCAGCGACCTTTGGCCCCATCCGCCCCTTGATCTGTGGACCCTACACTAGGCCCAGTGTGACCTGGCCACTTGCTTGGCCTCTTGTGCTTCGGTTTGCTTCTCTATAAAATGGGGATAATAACACCACTTACCTCACAGGGCCCTTAAGTGAAATTATGCACGTAAACAACTCGGAACAATGCCTGGCACAGGAGGAAGCCCGGTTAGCTATTAGCACTGGCTTTGCCGGCCTTCCCCAGGCACCCTTCCACCTCTGCCCTCAAACACGGGGTCCTTCTCCAAGGCTGGGCCTCCGCACTCGACTCTCCCTCTGTCTGGATGTTGCGAGGGACAGATGTCAACTCAGATGGGCTTTAGCAGAAACGGACATCGTTTGGCTCCAGTAGCTTGACAATCTGGGTCAGGTTCCACACTGAGCCAGGAGCCCATTTCTCTCTTGTCCAAGGCTCCACCTCCCAGGTCTAGGGAGACAGGAGCAACCCTCTTGATACCAACACTTACAGACCAAGATGGTCCCTAGGAACTCCCAAGACTCCCTCTTCTTGGTACAAACCTAGCATTCTCTCTCACTCAGAGAATATCTACTTCTCAGAAATGTCGAACTCAGGTCCAGAGTATGGTCGCTTTGAGCGACATACCTTGGGCCAGGTGCCCACCTCTGAGCCAATCACTGGGGACTTAAGGTAGTTGGCGGCCACCTTCCAAGTTGGGGGTGGGGTGTGGAGGCAATGCCACCCAGAGGATGGGGGCTGTGACCAGCTGCTGAGAAATACTGAGAACTAGGACTGGGAAGAGGAAAAACCCACGGCCATCCACATACCACTTCCTCCATGAAGCCTTCCTTGCGTTCTCCTTGCCCAGTTATTCCCTGCTACATCAAAGCCGAAGTTTCTACATTCCTCCCCTGCCCTCCTCTCCAGTCTTTCCTGTCTGTCTGCTCCCAGTGGAACATAAACCTCCCAAAGGCGGGAACAAGGCAGGTTGTTTTCCATCATATCGCAGGGCCTTGTCCAAGGCCTGACTCTTGGTGTCGAAAATTATAAATGTCAAAAGTTTATCCTCCCTGGGCTTCCGGTACTCCATGTTCTCCTGGCTCTTCTTCTACTTCCTTACATGTTCTCTTCCGTCTTTCCTCTGCTTGCATCACCCCCACTCCCAGCCTTGAGCTCAGCCTTTTCCCAAAGTGAAACCTCAGAGGGCTTGCCTCACTGACTTCAGGGGCACCAGAGTAACTTCTGGGAAAAACTTCCAAATCTAAGCTTTCAGCACTAATATTTTTTCGGAATTGCAGACCTGGAGTTCTGTCTGTAGGAATGTGGACCCTCAGTAAATCCTCCTGGAAATGGTAAATTTCTGTACCCACCCTACCCCCGAGTGTGCATGCTCAATAACGTATGATTCTTTGCAACCCCCAGGACTGTACCCTGCCAGGCTCCCCTGTCCATGGGATTCTCCAGGCAAGAATAATGGAATGGGTTTCCATGTCTTCCTCCTGGGGATCTTCCTGACCCAGGGATCAAACCTGCATCTCCTGAAATGGCAGGCAGATTCTTTACCACTGTGCTGCCAGGGAAGCCAAATTATTGTGTAAATGTTACTTATGACCCGTGAGACTGAACATGGTGTCATCTCCCCTAAACTGTCCCCCGTGTCTATGAATGATGCTGTGACAGGTCGTTCCATTGCTTTGAAAGACAACACACCAGGATTATGGGGAGATTTGAGCCAGATGGGCCTTTGCCTCACCTTGGGGTCAGGTAGAAACTTCTGGTTTTCTGATTTCTTTGTGTCAGTCATCTGATGTGACATGGACAGTGGGGGAGGGAAGTGTATGCACACAGAGGAGCTGACTCCCTCAGTGAACGAATGAGACCCAGTAAGTGACTGTGACAGCACTTTTGCTTGGCCACCAAGAGACTCTAGGCATGTTTGCAGTTCAGGACCCATCCTTCTACCCAGTCTATATTTTCTGTGGTCCTGATGCTTTATTTCTTATTTATATTTGACTAATTCATTGCATGCAGTTCCTGTGAGCTGTCTCAGATCCTCTCTGGAACAAGGTGGGGAATGCATTAATATTTAAAATAAACAAAATGTCGGCATGTGTGTGTGTGTCTTAGGTTGGAAATTCCTTAAGGGCAGGGACCATGTCTGTTTATATAGCACCTGGCACAGTGTCAAATTGAGGCTTAACAAATGAATTTTGATGAAGATGAGAAAGAAGCTGCCTGCAAGAAGATGCAAAGGTTTTAGACCTCACCCTCCAGCCAAACCTCACCCAAATCCCCTTTTTGCAAGGAATACCCTTCTTCAGGCTCCACCCTTCAGGCTCACCCTGTTTCTGATCATCCAGGCTCCTTCTTGTCACCCCTACCTGTCCACATACCCCTATCACCAACCCTGTGTGTGCGTGCATGCTAAGTCACTTCAGTCATGTCCAACTCCTTGCGACCCTATGAACTGTAGCCCTCCAGGCT